CATTTTTCTCAAAAATTCCTCCGCATCTTCCTCAGTGACTGCTTTCTTCACTAGAACTGGATTATCTCTGGATGTTTTAGCTTTTCTTAACTCTTCCGGGGCAAAGCATCTCCCCGAACGAGTTAGTCCCTGGGCCTCATTGACTTCTTCTTTCACTTCCTTTCCCCTGTAGGTCACTATCATCCGTTGGTAGCTCCATGGGATAGCTTTGGTGTTGACTACCGGCAACTAGGTTACAGGCTTGATGATGACAAGGTCCGTACGGGCTCCCTCCACAATTATGATAGGCTTACTCGCCAACCCTGGCACGACCACCTTTGACTTTTCTTGCTTTGCTACAGCATCAACTGGGGATCTCTTCTCAACTACCACAGATGGTTCACCATTCGTCATGCTCAACTTGTTCACTGGTCCTTCAACCATTGGTTTTGTGACAATTGCTTCCTTGACTGTCTTGGCCTCACTAGACCGAATCATCATAACAAATTGTGATGGCTTCTTGGGTTCCCCCTCCTTGTGTACTATCTCGTTCATGTTTGTTTCATCATGAGTCGGCAATGGGTTCTGATTGATGTTAGGGGTTTCCGGGAGTTTGTACGACAATACTGTTGTTATCAATAGAGCGCTTACGTAATAGGTGATTTTACTTAAGTAGTCGTAGTCGACTTTCCGTTTAACTTCTACTAGTCCCCGGACCGGTAACCGTAACGAAACGAAACGTAAGTAGTCGACCAACGACGTCCAAACGGAAGGTAAAAGTACTAAAACGAATTACTTTTAGGTTAGGGTAAGGGGGTTTAGGGGTTCGGAAACGTTTTACGTTAACCGTACCGTAAACTTAGGTACCGTTCCGTAACGCGAACCAACTACCAAACCCTAACGTCCGTCCCAAACTTACTACCTTACNCTTAATTGCTCCAACCGAGTTTTGACCCACTCATCATCATCAATTTCTGCTTCATCGTCACGCTCTATTTCTTGGATTATTATTTCAACATTAGATTGGCTTTTAAGACTTGGCTGAAGATTCTGGGTGCATGTCATGTCATTGAAACCAGCATAAAAAGAACTGTACAAAGAAGAAAAAAAAACAAAAAAAAACTATCAGGAATGATGGAAAAAGGGATATTGCATTTCATTGAAAATAAAGGATAACAAGGTTTGTACATCAAACAAGCGAGAAAATAAAAAACTGGGTCACAACCCTGGAATGACCCAGATAGAAAGGAAAACAAAGCAAACTACCAAAACTCCCTCCAAGTAGGGAGAGGAGTAGCCTTCCAATTGTTAAGCTTTACTTTTGACCCGACAAACTGCACATATGCTTTGCTGGTACCCTCTCCAACTTCTACCATGTTCACATCATCAAACAAACTCTGACCTTTCGATTAACTCTTCATCAACATCAACCACAGGCTTTGGAACAGTTGTCAATGGGCATTTCCCGGCACCGGGCTTGACGAATGACCTGGAGAGATGCGGGATAGGCTTCGAAAGTGCCCACGCCTTCTGTTTCAACCTTTTAACCCTTTTCACATCTGCTGTTGTAGGTTTGAATCCAAGACCGAACGTACCCAAGTTTTCAAGGAGGGACACTGGCTGTATGATACCCTGCAGAGATGCACCCAGAACTTTACCTGGCACAAAGCCATTTTTCAGCATTTCAGAGGCCACCATGACGGATGCAGAGGCTATCTTTGGAGTTGGAACACATTTCCCTTTTGGAACCTTCTCGACCGGCACTGTTTCAAAAACTTGGTAGACCCAAGGCCCTTTGTCATCTTCATCCTCAATAAACGGGACGGAGGCATCACTGTGAGCACACAAATTCTCCTCACCATGCATGACGATCTCCTGTCTATCCCATTCGAACTTGACCATCTGGTGCAAAGTGGACGGGACTGCTTTGGCGGCATGTATCCAAGGCCGACCTAACAGCAAGTTGTAAGAGACGGCTACGTCCAGTACCTGGAACTCCATGGTGAATTCCACCGGTCCTATTGTCAATTCAAGCATTATATCACCGACCAAGTCTTTCCCTCCACCGTCAAAACCTCGGGCGCATATGATGTTCTTGTGAATCCTCTCATCATTAACTTTCAACTTGTTCAGAGTAGAGAGAGGGCAAATGTTTGCACTGGAACCATTTTCAACTAACACCCTGGTGACCACAGAATCTTCACATTTTACCGTAAGATAGAGAGCTATGTTGTCTTCAGTACCTTCCACAGGCAACTCATCATCGGAAAAAGTGACCATGTGCACCTCAAATATTTTGTTGGCGATCTTCGCTAGATGGTTCACCGAAATTTTGTAGGGGACATGAGCTTCGTTCAGAATTTTCATCAGGGCCCGACGATGCTCATCGGAGTGGATCAATAATGATAGCAAGGAAATCTGAGCGGGCATCTTTCTCAGCTGCTCCACGATGGAGTAATCTTGTACCTTTATTTTTCTCAAAAATTCCTCCGCTTCTTCCTCAGTGACTGCTTTCTTCACTAGAACTGGATTATCTCTGGATTTTTTAGCTTTTCTTAACTCTTCCGGGGCAAAGCATCTCCCCGAACGAGTTAGTCCCTGGGCCTCATTGACTTCTTCTTTCACTTCCTTTCCCCTGTAGGTCACTATCATCCGTTCGTAGCTCCATAGGATAGCCTTGGTGTTGACTACCGGCAACTGGGTTACAGGCTTGATGATGACCGGGTCCGTACGGGCACCCTCCACAATTATGATAGGCTTACTCGCCAACCCTGGCACGACCACCTGTGACTTTTCTTGCTTTGCTACAAAATCAACTGGGGATCTCTTTTCAACTACCACAGATGGTTCACCATTCGTCATGCTCAACTTGTTCACTGGTCCTTCAACCATTGGTTTTGTGACAATTGCTTCCTTGACTGTCTTGGCCTCACTAGACCGAATCATCATAGCAAATTGTGATGGCTTCTTGGGTTCCCCCTCCTTGTGTACTATCTCGTTCATGTTTTCATCATGAGTCGGCAATGGGTTCTGATTGATGTTAGGGGTTTCCGGAGTTTGGACCACAATCTAGTTTGTATCAATGAGCTCTTGGATGGCATTTTTCAAGTGCTAGCACTTTTTCGTATCATGCCCTGGAGTACCAGAACAGTATGCACAGCTCAAGGAGTAATCAAGATTCTTTGGATGAGGGTTTGGCAATTTCGATTCAATTGGCCTCAGCACATCCAACTGCCTCAATCTCTGGAACAGGCTAGTATAAGACTCCCCCAGTGGGTGAAAGTTTTCTTCCGCTGCAACCTTTCATTTCTGAACACTGGCTTGGGCCAGAAACCTAGACCGGCAGGGTTTCGGTAGGCTCGTGGAGGTGGGTATGCATTTTGTGGAGCTGGGTAGGTGTTTTGTGGGTTTGGGTCACGCCACTGTGGGTAAGAAGGAGGTTGAGTGTATGATTGGGCGTGGTGAACAAAAATCTGAGGGTCTGGTGATGGGAAGTAGTGTTGGGGTGGATTATATGGGTTTTGGGTGTAGGTTCGGTGATGGGTTCGCGGCTGGGTATAATGGTGTGACGGGCCCTTCGGTCCAAACCATGCTCCTGAATCAACTGTTGCCACATCTTCTTTCTTCTTCTTTCCAATCACTCCTCCGGTACCGTTCTGGATGGCTTGGGTGGTTGCTTTGATGGCCGAGTAGCTCATGATTTTGCTCGACTTAAGCCCTTCTTCCACCATGCCGCCCATCTTTACTACCTCATTGAAAGACTTGTCTATGGCCGATATCAGATGGCCAAAGTAAGTGGGCTCCAAAGCTTGCAGAATTTACTCCTCCATCGGAGGGTTGACTCTTGCCGCTTGTTCTCTCCAGCGAAAACCATATTCTCTGAAACTTTCTCCTGGCTTCTTTTCTATCTTAGTCAGGGACAAACGATCTGGAACGATCTCTATGTTGTACTGGAAGTGCCGTGCAAATGCTTGGGCTAGATCATCCCATGTATACCATCTGCTATGATCTTGACGTGTATACCACTCTAACGCCGCGCCACTTAGACTTTGGCTGAAATACGCCATTAACAGCTCATCTCTTCCACCAGTTCCTCTCATTTTACTGCAGAATCCCCTCAAGTGGGCCACCGGTGCCCCGTGCCCGTCATACAGGTTAAATTTAGGCATCTTGAATCCCACTGGCAGCTGGACATCAGGAAATAGACACAAATCTTTGTAGGCTACGCTCACCTGGCCTCCCAATCCCTACATGTTTCTGAATGATTGCTCCAGGCTTCTTACCTTCCTGAACATCTCCTCTTATTCCGGGTTTTTAGGTGATTTCTCAGTCTCAACAGGGAGGTCAAAATGAGGAGTATAAGAGTGATGATCTGGGGCCCTGAAAGTAGGCTCTGGGGGATAGTACTGATTATCTTGGGTCTGGAACAATGGCTCGCTGGAGGATCGATGGAGTATAGCTGGCGGGGGCGCTACAAAGACAGGGGTGGTTGGTGGAGGGGGGTACGGGATTGTTTTAGCTGGTGGTGCTTGGGTGGTTTGGGAAGTGGTGCCTTGATAATGGTGGTAGTGGGCGAAACCTGGTGCATTTTGTGGGGATGAATCAGCAATAGGAGGTTCTTGGGACTGAGCCAACGGTGGGATGAAAGTGGGGTTGGCAGGGTATGATGGTGGGGGATGCCCTTTCACCCAGGCTTGGTACATTTCGGCCATCTAATGTTTCAACTTATACAGTTCCTCTTTCAGATTAACCTCAGACTCTTCCCCCTCTCTTGAAGGATCAATAACACTTGCATCCAGTTCCTGGCCGGCCATGATCAACTTGTTCTTAGACCTGGTGTTGTATGGGTGGGTTTGCCAGAATGCCGATCAAACTAACCACCTGCCTGGACTTGATGACAACAAGCAAACTTGTTAGCGATTGATATCTTAACAGATAGGCAACCGCACGTTGTGGATACAATGCACCTAAGCAGTTAACCATTTCAATTATGCATTTGAACGGCTGCTTGCTTCATCCCGGCTTTCACTAATTCTTTCATTTTGCCTTTTTCTTTCTCTTTTTCTTTTTCATTCCCACCTTTCCTTTGCTTGATTCTTGTCTTTCCTCTTTTATTCTCGCATTTTCCCTCTCTTGTTTTGCCATTATTTCTTTTTCCTCGATTTATTTGTATCATGACGCCGCATGAATCAGACCAAGCGTAGTTCTGGGAAATAGATAAATAAATAAATAAATAAATAAAGACACATTTTTCTTTTTCTTCAAATTTTGTAAAATAAATCATAACATCCTGATTACAACGACTTCACTACAGATCAAACATTTTCAGAAACTAAAACAAGACTCAAAATGGACTGACAGACTCTAAAAGAAAATGCAACACAGACTCGAAAAAAAAAAATCAAGAATACATAAGTGCTTCCACTGCTGCTCCAGCTGGCCTTGCTGCGGGTCTATGTGCCAGGTCTTCTTGAAGACGAAACAAGTCATCCATGATCTGTCGGACAAAGATCATAACTGAAGCGAAGAACATGGACTGGGTCATGTCTTCACACTCGTTGCACTTTATCACGATGTAGTCCGCAATCTTCCTAAACCTTTCCCTGATAATACCTTTTTCTTGTAGCAATCGTCCAATCTGCTAAGATCGGGCCCCCAAAACTTGTTCGGCAGTATGATGTTGCTCTTGAAGTTGTTGCAGGTCCTTTTCTAACTGCGACATCAGGGCATAGCAATGTTCCCTTTCTGACTGAAATCTCTTGCATGCTTGGTCATTTAGTTTTCAAGGACGTTGATTCTTTTCTTTAGACCCACCATTCCTCTGTCTTACTTCTCTTTCAGCTGTCGGACGAAACTTGCCCGTCCCTCCGCACTCTTAACTAACTTGGCTTGGGCTTTTGCTAACTCCTTTTCAGTCTTTTCCAGGTCTTCCTCGTAAGCACCCACCTTTCTCCTAAGGCAGTTTATGAGCTTCTCATTTTGTCTACTTCTAGCCGGATTTTTGGCGGCGATTTCCATTCTTTGAATTTGAGCTCGTAAAGCTTCATTTTCCTAGGCCAATTTCCTTCTTTCTCCTTTGGCTTCTTTCAGTTGTAGATCATTATTGAACTCAACGTTTCTCAATTTCTCTTCAAGAACGTGAATGGTAGCTTGGTACTTTTTCTCCTTCTCTCCCTAGGCCAACCTTTCCTTGACTTTGTCATCAAAAGCTTGCACATGTGGTCTTTTTGCTGGTCTTTCGGGCTCTAGTTCGGGCTCTGGCTCATTGCTTACACCTGACTTCCCTTCAAACCATGCTGCATAATTTGGATTCACTTCCCCTTTAGCAACATCTGGTACCTGGGTGCCATTTTTCAGATACTGACAATTGTTCCAATCCTGCTGGACTAAAGCCTCTGGTAATGCGGCCTCTGGATGGAGTTCAATGACCTGAGTGGTTAGATCCTCATCTTCAGGTACTACATGATATCTCCCTAGCTGCCTTAGGACTCTCTGTGGTGCGTATGGCTGGACACTCCGCAAACCCATCAACATCAAATAACCCTTTGCGGCTGTCATATATATGATTTCTGTCATCGGGAGCCAACCTATCGTCCATTCGACTTGACTTGCTTTTAGAGCTTTCAAATGGGAGATCCAAGCTTCAAACCCTTCTGGAGCATTGTAATCTTTCACCCTTTCCTTGTAGCTTTTGATGAAATTGTCTTTGCTTGAACCATAGCTCATGAACCTGGGGTGGTGGCGGAGATGCTCAATCGACCACATTTGTAGAAGAACACTGCAACCCTCGAAGAATTGAGCCCCGGATCTACACAATGTCAATGCCCGGTAAATATCTGCCAGTACTAGAGTAGCAAGTGTGTGATCTTTCTTTGTAATAAGGGTTTGTGCAACTCTAGCCATGCGGGTGTCTACCGTCTCCTCGGCATTTGGAAAGACTATGATTGCCAGGAACGCGACTATGAAGGCGAACCTACAATGAATTTGCCAAAGGTTCGTGTCCTGTTTGTTGTTCAATCCTTTTTCATGTGTTTCGAACCCGACCGAATGCCCGAATCTGGAATACAAAAATTGAAAGGAACAGCACCCGTTGTCCACATGAGCCTTCTTCATTTGTTTGCTGATATTAAGAAGATCAAAGAATTTGTGCACTGATGGGGCTCTCGGGAATATCAACTGTTGTTTCCTCATGTCCCGGCCAAAATGGATGTACCCAGCTATTTCTTCCAGTGTAGGGGTGAGTTCAAAATCTGAGAAGCGAAAGACGTTATGCACAGGATCCCAGAAGGTTACCAAAGCTTTGATCGAATCTTCCCGTGGTTTGATTTCCAATAGATCAATGAGAGCACCCAACTGCTCTTTCACCCAGTCTTGACCATCCCCATCCAAATCATACCACCACATGCGCAACTGCAACTGAGCTTGCTCTATGACTAGTAGTTTCGGGTCCTGGACAATGTTCATCTTGGTACCTGCGAATGGTTAGGGTTAGGGTTGACTCTGACAGACTTTTGAGGAAACAGGTTTCGACTTCTTAAAGAAAATGACCCTTTCCCCTTTTTACACAAAGTGGCTGCTTTCGTAAATGTGGCCCCTTCGCAATTTCAAGCAAATTTTGAGGCCGGGGGGGAAGATACTTAGAAAAAAATGACCCCTTATCGACAGATTTGCTCGTTCTCTATGAAAATAGCCCTTCAACAACTGAAGGTATTCTAAGGCTATCTCGGCGAGAACGTCGCCGAAATTGGGTCGGCTCATTCTTGACATAGATCCCTACCTACGACTCCACTTTATTTGGCTAATTTTGAAAAAGAGGCCGAACCCTATGTAGGTTGCCTACGTATCCCACATCTGGTAGGAATCAGACATGCGTAGTTCGGGCAGTCTTGACATAATTTTAAAAGAAAACACGAGTGACTCATTTTGAAAAGGCTCTCTTTTTTTTTTCTTTTTTTTTCTTTTTCAAATCCCTTTTTCTTAAAAAAAAATTCGGCAGAGTTTCGAGATATTTTCAAACACCGGGTTTATTCCCTTTCTACACCACTCTTGGTCTACACACCCTTTCAAATAAATAAATATTCACATAGCACGTAAGATGCATCAAGATGGTCTGTTATTTTGGGTACACCTGTCCTAGACGGACCCAACCCCTGTGTTGAGTCCCCTAAGTCAAATGCACGTGATGCAAACAAACGTTCCTACTAGGGATCCGGCATGAGGTTATGTTCTTCTAGGGTTTAACCTGGGGTTGTGTTCTAGACTGGGTTTACCCGAGTGGAAAACTCGAGCCGAGGTGGGGGCAACATACCGGGAGCACTAAAGTCTGCCCGGCCTTGTTGCTGGCCCATGCCTCGTTCTTAACTAGTATGACTTCTAACAGAAAGTGGGCCACGCGAACGTGTGCGCCAAATTTTAGAAGACTCAGAGGGGTGGCGTAAGAAGGCATTTTAATAAAATTCAAGCAACAATAAAATGGCAAATAGCAGCAATTAGCACATCAGGTTCACAAAATACAGGAATATCAACAATAAATAAAGCCGAGCATAATCGTATTAACAAGCTCGAATTCTGGAACCCTGAACCAGAAGTTCTGGGTTCTTGTCCCCAGCAGAGTCGCCAGAGCTGTCACGCCTCCTTTTTACTACCCTTCCGGAAGGGATATAAAAGAGTTTTTCCAATTTAAGTGAGAATCGAAACAGGATTATTATTTAAGATCAGAGTCGCCACTTGGGATAGTTTATGGTGTCCTAAGTCACCGGTTTAGAATCCCGAATCGAGGAGATTTGACTCTGTTTATGTCTGCGAAACACAGAAATCCGAGTAAGGAATTCTGTTAACCCGGGAGAAGGTGTTAGGCACTCCCGAGTTCCGTGGTTCTAGCACGGTCGCTCTGATCATACTTGGCTTAATCAAATTGATTAATTACTGATTTTAGAACCTATGTGAATTTGCCTTTTTAATTAAGAAACAGGTCACGCGTACGTGTACCCATTTGTTTGGTGCGTCAAAATTATGTCATGAGAACGTGTCCACAATTAATAACGCTTTATTATTATTAAGAAAGTTTGGCCGAAGTTGCGCGAACGCATACTCTGGTTTTATTTTTAGAAATCGTAATCATGTCACGCAAACGTGCACGCAACTACGATGGTATTTTAACGTGCCTAAAGCAAACTACGAACATTTGTTATTTTTATATCTAGGTCATAAGATTAATACGAGGGCCATGAATGATTAAATTGTGGATGGCGCACCTCGAACTATATGAACTAAATTAAATTAGTGGTCTATTAATAACAATTTTATTATTAAGAAAGTTTGATCGAAGTTGCGCGAACGCATACTCCGATTTGATTTTTAGAATCGTAATTGGTCACGCAAACGTGTACACAATCACAATTATAAATTAAATCGCGCCTAAAGTCTTTTCTACGAATATTCATTCTTAATAAATAATGTAACATTTGTGAGGGCCATGAGTGACTTAATGTGGATGGCACACCTCAATTATTGGTAAAGGACAATGCTTGATTTGAAACAGCCTACTAACATTTTGTTAAGGAAAAGTTCGAACCATCAGTAAAAGAGCTTGAGGTACATGTGCTAGTCTTTGAATTATTTTTGGAGTAAAAGCGGGCCAACTACAAGCCCAAATTACATGCAGAAACGGCAGAAATAAGTTGGGACAAAGGGGATTGGGCTT